AGCACCAGCCCTCCCCCCACCCCAGGCCACCTCGTCCCCTCCGAGTCTCTGCGGGCTGGGGGGCGGGGGGGGTGTGCGGGCGGAGAGCCCTCTCCTGGGTGCCTCCCACCCTCCTGGCCTGGGCGGGCCTGGGTCCCCGGGACGGTTGCCAAAGCGGAGGTGAAGCTTTGAGGAAGCAGAGCAGACCCCTGGCTTCCAGTCCTCGACCCCGAAAGCCCTTTCTTGAGGCCAGTGCCTGGAGTTTGGCCGGTCACTCCTTCAGGGGCTGGCATGGACCGGGGTAGGGTCCGTGCCCCATCCGCCTGAGTGGGTACGGGCGACCCCGTCCTCCCCGTCATTGTCCAGCCAATAGGAAGCCACTGGAGACGGGCTCCAGGACCTTCAGCTCTCCCTCCCCACAGGCCTGGAACCAAGGCTCATTCATACTATAGTGTGAAGGACTCAAGCCAGACGTTTCCTATGAGCGAAAGGGTCAGAAGGAGAGAGTGGGAAGGACAGGGCCAGGGTCATGGAAGGGGAGGCAGGCTGGGGGCCCAGAAGCAGCCAGGGTGGGATTCGTGCCAAGACCCCCTGTGCCAGGCCTGGCAGTCCCCGGAGCTACGGTCGGGTCCTGTCCGAGGGGCTGTCCCACGGAGCGACCTGGACCTCCGCAGGCCCCTCGGCCCCCGCCCCCATGGGCCCCAGTCTCCCGTCTGCGGGACAAGTCTGCGGGTTAGCCGGCGCCCCTCCCGCCTCTGGGGGGGCAGCTGCTCCCCGCTCCCCGGCTGTTCCCACGTGGGAATGTGGGCAGGCGTTGCCAGATCTTCCAAAATTTCAGTAGAAGCCAAAAATACGGATTTTAAAATGTAAACTCTCCCAATTTTTAAATGTTGCCTCGAATGTTTTTTTTTTAAAACGTTAAAACCCTCTCGCAGGCCAAATACAACATGCCAGCGCGGGCCAGATTTAGCTCGGGGGGCCAGTTCGCAGCCGCCGTCGGCCCAGCGGTCGGCGCAGCCGCCAGCAGCTACGCACAGCTGGCGCCGGCAGGGGCCGCGCAGGGCCCACGGGCAGGGGAGGCCCGGGGAAGCCCGAGGCAAGGGCCCCGGCTCAGGCCGCCAGCTGGCCGGGGGACGTTGGTCACGCACAGCAAGCCCAGTTTTGCAGCTAAGGTACTTACTGGTGGATGACCTACTGTGCGTCCGGCGTAGGCTAGCGCCGTGGGTGATGCCCAGGACAGGTGGCCAGCTTCTCGCTCCCTCGTGACAGTCTGTGGCCCCTTGGGCCCCTCCCTCCGCCTGGGAACACCCGCTCTCCTGCGTCCCCGGCGGGCTCTGCGGCGGGCTCGGCCCCCTCCCTGAACCTTGACCTTGGCAGAGCCCCCCTGTCTTCCCCGTGTGCACTCACGCCCTTGGCGGTCTCATCCAGTGCGGTGGCTTTAGGTGCGGTCTCTACTCGGACCCCCCGCCCCCAGGCTCACATCTCCTGGGCCCTCCTCTGCACTTGGGACTCACGAACCCTAACCCTAACCCGCCCCCTTGCCGCTGGTCTGCCGGACTCCGATAGCCGCCTCCGGCCTGAATTCCCATGGTCTCCCCGCCCTCTTCCGGCCGCTCAGGTCGGAGAGTCAGTGTCGTCGTCGGTGGCTCTGTCTTCTGCACCCACCCCTGGTCTGTCAGGGCGCCCCCGCCTCCACCCTGGTCCCCACGCGGCGGGACTGGGGCCGGCACCCAGCCCCCGGCGCATCCCCACTCAGCAGCGTGACAAACACACCTCTGTCCAGTGCTGCGGGGACTTCCAGTCCCCTCAGGGCAGACGCCGAAGTCCTGTGAATGACCGGGTCCCAGGAGGCCCTGAGCTCAGCCCCTGCTGCCCGCTGGTGACCGGGCACTCCCCAGACTCCCCAGGCAGCCCACCCCCAGTGCCTGCCCCGCCCCCCCAGCTCCCAGGACTTTGCTCCGGTTTCGCCCCGACTTCCCCATGGACAGTGGCCACCCCAGGCCGCCCCGCCCACCCCTCCTCCTCAGCGGATTCTGGCTTCTCCGAGCAGGCGCGCTGGGGCCTAGGGGCCCTCCGCTGGCGTCCCACGTAATCTCTCCCCCCCCACCCCAGAGCAGGTCGGCGCTGGGCCAGCAGAGACCTTCCTCCCCTCTGCTCGCTGCCGCACCCCCGGGGCCGCACGCACAGCGCGCGCTCGCTGCGTGGTCACAGGACGGCAAGCCACGGTGCGAACCTCCTCGAAGGGGCCCAGCCCAGCCCGTTACTGTAAAGGCCGGGCTCTCCGGAGCGACCACGGTCCTTCAGCCGCCCTGTCCCCGAGACAGTCCCTTACACACATGTCCACCTTGTCACTCACGGCATCCTTTACAGACTGTCCACCTCCCTAGAGGAGGGATTGAGCTCAGAGAGGCTGAGGGCCTTGCCCAAGGTCACACAGCGGCATACAAGACGGTTCAGGAGACCCCACGTCTCCAGAGGGGCTTCCCGGGCGGGGCTCCGGGCACCAGTCGCACCCAGAAGCCCTCGAGTGGGGGGCAGGCTTGGGTGGGGGGCGGGGGCTGGCACTCCCCGTGGAGGGCAGATGCCTCTGGCTGGGGGTTAGGAGCCGCGGCACCCACCCAGCCGCCCCACCCACCCCCCTTGGAGCCCTCTGTGCCAGCCCCGGGGGATACAGACTCTGCAGCCTAAACAGGGACCCTGCTGTGTGTGTGGGGCGGGGGTCCTTTAGAGAACCAGGGGTGGGGGCGGGGCCAGGACAGGCAAAGGACAAAGTGGGTGGGTCCAGAGAGACAGAGTGTGATGAGAAGGGAGGCCCGGCCGAGCAAAGGTGCGGAGGCCGTTGAGCTGGGTGAGCCGGGGACCGGTGCGGGTCTGTGTGGCCGGCGTGGCCAGCGTGTGCTGGCGTGTGCCGAGTGAGGTGGGGCTGAGTCAGGGTTCACCAGCCCCTCCCTGAGGCCCGGCAGGTGGCATCGCCTCTGGGGAGGGCCTACTGTGCGCCTCTGTCGCCGTGCCTGGTGCCCGGGGAGGCTCCCAGTCACACGCCGCGTGGGAACTGCAGGGCTGCCCTCCTGCAGCCCCTGGTTTGGCACCCGTGAAGCGGGTGTTTAAGACTCGCCTCTGAAAGTCTCAGGGAGGGTTAACCGGGACTGAGCTCCGTCTCTGGGTCACAGGCTGTGCTGGGGACAGCACGGGTGGACTAAGGGGGGATGGGCCTGTTTCTGACCCAGGTGACCCTCTGGAAGCTCGGGGTCACTCGGGGAACAGGGAGGAAGCAAGCGGGCTGCGGGAGGGGGGCAGCGAGGCCGTGGTGGCCGCCAGGGTGCTGAGAGCGGAGCTCGGGGCGCCGGAGGGGCAGGCATCAGCAAGGGGGCAGACAGCAGGGGGACCGAGGCAGGGACACACGGCACAGTCCAGCCTGACCGTCAAGCGGGGCTTGTGTGATGCAGTTGGGAGGGAAGGCGATCGCTGGACCGGGCCACCCAGAGGGGCTGGGCCACCCGGAGGGGATGAGGGGTGAGTTTAGAGCAGACAGTGTTGCAGGAATCGGCATCAGGCTGTGACTGTGGAGTGCACTGGAGGGACGGCGCCCCAGGTAGGGATGGACAGTCCCTCTGACAGCCCCCAGAGTGCCCACCGGCGTCCCACCGGTGTCCGAAGAGCTGGGGGGTCCCACCTGCCTGGGGGCCCTGGAGGGCCCGGAGGGGCCCTGAGGGTACCTCCTGCCCCATCATCTCACCCCGGAGACCCTGGCCAGCCCGCAGGCCTCATGCACAGCCCCCACCGGTCCCTGCACTCCTCCCAGAGTGGAGCCCCCGCCTCTGGCTGGAGACCCGGGGGGACCCCAGGCTCCTGTGCCCAGTCCACGGGGCCGACCTCTGCCAGCCTCAGGGGCCTCCTCGTCCCCAGGAAGGGTGTCTCGGGAACACCCCAAATCCAGGGCTGTGAACTGCAGAGCTAAGACTGGAGCATGGGGCTTCGGCCAAAGGCACGGCACCTCCCCAGGGGGCTGCTCTCCCCTCTGCCCACACCCGCTGGGCGAGGTGTCGGGTGAGCCCCAGGAAAAACGGGGGAAAGACAGGCCCTGCCCAGGGAGGGCGCAGGAGGTACGGGGGCCTTAACCCAACAACTCTGCTGGGTATCCATGGAGGGCTGCCTGGAGGAGGTGGCCTTTGAGTGCGAGTAGTGGTTACCTCGCAGGCACTGGGTCTGGGGGGGATTTGAGAAGTCCTAGGGTCCCAGTCAGGCTTCTGAAATGGCAGAGTGAAGGCAGAGGCCGGCAGGGTACTGGGCTGGGGCTCCTCCCCTTTCCTGTCTCTGACCCCGCCCACCCCCATCCCTGCCACCGGGGCAACTCAGCAGCTTTTCCCAGCGGCCCTTCTTGGGGGGAGAAATTCCCAGATGGGCCCTTTCCAAGAGCCGAAACACTCAATATAAATAATTAATTCTAGATTTTTAAAATTAAATTTTAATACATTCGTATTAATTTTAGACAAACTCCCCGGCAGGTCATTCCCTATGAGTGACGGAGGCCACCGGAGACATGACAGATGTCCCCAGCGCGGAGGGCTGGGGTCCAGGCCCAGGTGCGCTCATGGCCCTGAGCTTGGCTTTGCTCTGCGGGGGACCGGCACTGCAGGGGGTGGTGGGTGGGACCCTCCGCCTTATTGTTGCCTTTCCGCCGGCCGGCAGCGGGCTCTCGGGACTGGAGGGGGGTTTCACTTCTCAGCCGTTAGCCCCTGGAGGCGGGGTCACCTCCCTCGCTGCCCCTCCCCACCCCCAGAGCTAATGAGTAAGTGAGGAGCGGTCCTCCCGGCGGGACGAGGGAGCACTGGGGCTCGGGCCGGGGCTGCCCGGCCGGGGCTGCCTTTCTGCACACAGGGCTCCTCCCACCTTGCGAGCCGGCCAGGGGGAGGCCAGGCCTGCTGGGCACCGTGGGGGGGGGGCCTGGAGAAGGGACAGGGCTCCTACGGGAACTCAGAACCCGGAGGGAAGCCGCGAGAAAAGAGACGCCGCGGTGCTGTGGGATCCAGGCATGAACTGTCCGCGTTTATTGAGCGCCTGCTGTATGCTGGGATCTAGTGCGCTGGGCACGGTGATGGGGCCGTGGGAAAGGTGGGCCTGGGGTTCCTGGGGGGGGCTGGGGGAGGCGTGGGCTGAGCAGCCAACTCTCTGTCCTGGGGAAGGGGGTACCCAGAGGGGGTCCAGGACCGCGGTCTCAGACAACTTTCGGAGAGTCGGGGATCCTGTGTGGCTGCCAGTCGGGGCCCCTTGTGGATCCTTTCCGCCGAAATTCCTTCCCCCGCCCCAGCCCCTTCGCAGCCCGCGGTGCTGACGGGCGGCAGAGCGCTTCGTCCGCTCTCCCCTCCCCCCAACCACAGCTCGCTGGTGAGGAAACTGAGGCCGGGGACTCCCGGGAAGGCCTGCCTGGGCACGCGGGGAGTTGGTGGCCGAGCCTGGCCGAGGCCCCGGGCCAGGCCTCCCGGCTCGGCGCTGACAGCCGGGCTGCGCCCTCGCCCGGCGGGGCGGTGGGGGAGGCGGCGTGGGGCCCGGACCGGAGCGGAGCGCGCTCCCGGCGGACGCGGCGCGAGGGGCCGGGATGGGCAGTCATCAGTCTTCCCAGGTGTGTCGGGTGGTCCCTGGGCTCGGCCCCCCGTCCCCCTTTCACGTCCGTCCTGGCACGGAAAGACGGGGGGAGCCCCGGGGAGCGGCCTCTCCCGAGCGATGGAGAGCGAGCCCGGTGCCCCCCGCTCCGCGCAGGAAGTGCGATCCCGCCCGGGCCGCTCGCGGTCCCGGTCGTTCGCCAGCGCCCGCAGGGTTAACGGCCACGGGTGGGTCCCCCCGCCCCGCGCGCAGGGGCTGCCCGGCTGCGCGGGGCGGGGTGGGGAGGGTCTCCGAGCCGCTCGCCGGCGGGTCTGCGCAAGCCCGGCAGGGAGCCCCACGGGCGAGTCGGTCGCGCAAGGGTTAATCCCTCGGGCCCGGGAGGGGCGGGCCAGGCCCGGAACCTCGGAATCGGAGGGCAGCGGGGTCCCCGACTGAGGGGTCTGAAGTCCGGAGCGCCGCCACCCTCGGACTCCCGGAGCGTCAGGTTCTGCAATCCCGGATGGCGCCCGGTTCCCAGACCCGAACACTCTCCTACTCGGAGATTTTGAGATTCGGGGCTCGGCTTCCTCCGGGAGGGAGCGCGGGGCTGGAAGGGTTAACGGGCGGGGCCGGCGTGGGGGGTGGGGGTGGGGGTGGGGGTGGGGGGTGGGAGCGGCGGGGGCCGCAGCCGCGGAAGTGTTAGCGGGACCCAGGCAGGTACCCCTCTTTCTGCCGAGCTCCGGAGCGCTCCGGGCTGTGCTCTCCGGAGTCCCCGGCCGTGCCTTTCCGAGTCCCCGGGCCAGCCCCCTCGTCCCCCCCGGAGTGTGCGGGGGGGTGTAACTACGTGCCGGGGAGCGCGGCGACCCGGCAGGGCTCACCTGTTACTCGGCAGGTGCCCGGCGCACCCACTGAGTCCCAGGGACCGCGGTTGGGTGGTGGGGACTGGGGTCGCACGGGCTGGGCTTCCCACCGGGCGGGCCACGCGGGGCTGCCCCGCCGCCGCGCCCGCCTGTGCCCGCGGTGCCCGCGGTGCCCGGCTCCGCCCGGCGCGGCCGCGGAGCGCACGCCTCCTGCCTGCTGACCCTCTGTTTGGTTTCTCGCAGGCCTCTGCCGCAGATATGGAGAAACTCAGGTGAGTGGAGCGTCTTCCGCGCCGCGGCTTGCGGGCCGGGTCGGGGTGGGGGCGCTGGCGGGCAGGGGGCGAGGGCCGCGCGGGAGCGCATCTCCCGGGTCGCCCGCGGCGCGGCTGGCCCGGCCGGGGTGCCGTGCGTGGTGCGTGCGTGCGCCGCGAGACAACGGGGAGCCCCCGCGGGGGCCCCGCGGCCGGCCGGACCGGGGCCGCAGCGGCTGGGGGCTGGGGTGCGTCGCCGGGGCCGGCGGCCTCCGCGGTCCCGCGCGCCCGACCCGGGACTCCGGATCGTCCCACGGGACCCTCTGGGTTTCCGTTCCCGCGGCTCCGCACGGGTCTCCGGCGCCGGCTGGTCCCCTCACCCCCAGCAGACAGTCGCTTGGCTCTGGGCTTTTAAGTTTATGCCTCGTGGGGGCGGGGGCGGGGGATGGAGACCTCGCCGCCGGCCGGAACAGTCCGGTCTCGGAGCCATTTTGGGGGAATCCCGCGACGCTGTCTGCGGAGTGTCCCCCGCCGCCTCCCTCCGGGTGCTAAACTTTAGCCCTCGCGCGCTCCCCGGGCTCCCTCCGGCCCTTCGCGGAAGCCGGGGAGAAGGCGATTTGAATATTCATGACTTCCTCTGAGACTTCCCTTGGCCACCCTGACCCCCACTTCGGGAACACCGCCCCCCCCACACGTGTTTTCCTTCCGGAGCCCGAGCCGAGGCGTTGTGTGGGCAGCTGGCCCAGCTCCGCTGCTGGGTTTCGGCACCGGCAGCCCGAGCCGGCAGGGTCTGCCCCACCCTCCCCGGCCGGAACCGGCATCCGTGGAGAGGACTCCAGGGAGCAGGCGCCCCCCGTTCCCAAGGGTCAGGGACCTGGCAGGGCCCTGGCTGGTACCACGGCGGGTTCCTGGGTCCCCGGGAGAGGGGCCGGGCTCCCCAGGTAACTGTGGGTGCCCCCCGTGTCTGGGGACAGGTAGGCTCACGCGGAAGCCCCAGCTGGACACCAGAGCAGGGCCCTCTCCTGGCCGCTGAGCTGGAGTGCAGCCCTTTCTTGGGGTCTCGCAGGACCAAGACCCATTTTTCCTGTGCTGGGAGGAGGGGTCCAGCCTGTTAGGTCAAGGCTTCTGAGACGCAAGACTTGCTGTCAGGCAGGCCCATCTTGTCATGGTCAAGGTCAGGGCGGGGGTGGGGGGTAGGGGGTGGGGGCAGCTGGTGAGGCCCAGGGAGCAGCCGCCCTGGCTCTGGACCCACAGGTGACCCCAGGCCAGGCCCCCCCAGGTACTCCACATTGGCTGTCACCTCCCCAATACCCCCACCACGGCTGGGCTCCCTATGGGGGAGGGGAAAGCTGGGACTTGGGCGACAGGTAGCCTTCAGGGGGGCACCCAGAGGCCAGCCTGGAGGAGTGGGGTGGCCCTGTGGTTCTTTCTCTCTCCTTCTCTCTCCCCGCCCAGCCAAGGCTCTGGGGGTCCCACCCTGTGCGTTGAGTCATAGGGACAAAGATGTACAGCCGAGCCTGGCTGGGGACAGAGGTGGACGGGGAGCCCAGTGAGCACTCCCACCGCCCGAGCGAGCCGCTGAGGGCGCCAGGCGTCTCTGCCGTGGGCTTCCCTGGCCTGCGTCCTGACGGCTGGCCCGGTGGCGGCCGGGGACTGGGCGTCTGGCTCCCTGGGCCACGTGGACTTTCGGCCGAGGCAGAGTTCTGGAGCCGGCAGGGACCAGGTAGCCCCCCAGAACGGGGGAGGGTCCCGCCTTCCTCCCCCTCTCACCCCACGGGCGTTCTCAGAGCTGCTTCAAGGGCCTCTCCGGGCCACCCTCCGGCCAGTGTGGGAGCCGCCCCTGCAGCACTGAGTGTCGGGGTCCGGAGGGAGGCAGGGAGGGAGGGGAAGTTGGTCAGCAAGGCCTCCCATGGCGAAGGCCACAGGGCTCAGGGTCCCACAGACCCTATGTCCGGCCAGTTCCTGGCCCTCTCTGGGCCTCCGTTTCCTTGTCTGTAAAGTGCATGTCCCCATCACCCCACCACCACCATGCAGGACTGTTCGGGGGACATCCCCCCCAGACCTGGCCCACAGCAGGGGGACGCTGGCAGAGGCTCCCTGTGGGGCATCGGAAGCACAGGGCTGCCCGGCAGGAGAGGACACGTCTGTGGTCCCAGGAGAGGGACTCTGGAGGGGCCTGGGGCCCGCCCCCTGCCCCGAGCGCACGCTCTGCACACTGGCCACCTGGCCTGGGGTCTGAAGGACAGGGCGGGCACTTTGCCCCTCGCACCCCTGCGGCCTGGCTCCTAGGAGGTCCTGGGAGGTCCAGCAAGTGCTGCAGAACGCGAGGAAGGGCCAGGCCATCGAGACCCTCAGCAGCACCCCGGGTGGGCAGGTGCGCCTCCGCCTTCTCCCTGCCCCGGCCCCTCCACCCAGGTCCCTGGCCCCACACCGTGGTCCCCCTTCTGAGTCCCAGGCAAGTTGTCACCACCACACCTCCCTGTGTGGTTCCCTCTGCCCAGGATGCCCTTCCACATGACAAACTGTTTGTCCCCCCGTCAGCTTTTCTCTGTGGCTTTTGTGACCGTCACCCCAGGTGGACTCCTTCCCTCTCTGTGTGCCAGGTTCCACACTGGCTGCCGAGACACAGCCAGACCCAGTCTCAGGACAGGGACATGGTCCCACCCACACATCCTCCCAGGGAGCCCAGGTCGGGGACACGGGCCTGGTGAATCAAGGTGGGCTTCCTGGAAGCAAGGACATTTGAGCCCAGGATTGGAGTTTGCAAGGACGGACAGGAAGGGCCCTCCAAGGGGAGCAGAGGCCTGGGGGCCTGAGGAAGCAGGATGTCTTCGGGGAGATGGGGAGGGTGGGGAGTGGAGGTCCCCGGGCCCCCTGTGCCGCCTGGAGTGTCCTCTGCCCGCCCACCCCATCTCACGCACAGCCTGGCTCTGATCCTGGCAAAGGACCGGCACGCGGCAGGGCTCCCGCAGGTCCGGCCGCCTCTGCTCCGGCCAGGTGCGCACCCTCCGCCCCTCGCTCCCTCAGCCGCCGACTCAGAGACTCTCCCGGTGACTCGCGGTGTTTGCGGACATTAGCGAGTCCTGGCCGCTGGGGCCGGGGCCCGGGTGCAGAGCCAGCGGCGCCTCTAATCCCCAAATTAATCCCCTCCTCTGCCTCCCTCCGCACAGGGCCCTCTCCCCTCCCCCCCGCCGCCGCCGCCGCTTTATCTGCTCCGGGCCTGTGGGCAGCCTCCCTCCTCTGTGTCGGCTTCGGTCCCCTCCTGTGGTGCGGGAAAGCGGGTCAGTCGCCTCGCATGGTGCCTGGGACTCAGGAGGTGCCCGGAGACCCAGAGCTATTCCGGGCTCGAGCCCACCCTGCCCCCAAAAGAGAAGTCTTCGGAGTTGTGAACTGCGACGAACATCCAGAAAAAGTGACCAGTATCTGTGCGGTTTGGCACGACCACCCCGGGACCACGCCCCGGGCGAGCCGAACTCGGCCAGCCCCCCACGTGCCTCCCGAGACCCTGCCCCCAGCACAGCCCCCTCCTGCTCCCCTGAGGTCTCCAGGGCCCCGACTTCCGCGACAGGCGGCCCTGTTTTCTTCGCGGTTTGGCTCCGCAGGGGAGCGCACCGGCCCGACAGAGTTTCCCGGCGGGGGCTGGGACCTCACCTGCGCGGAGCGTCCCCGCGGTCCTCCGCCTCGCTCGTCGCCCAAACCTCGCGCGGGCCAGAGTCGCCCTGGCGGGCGCGGGGAGCCGCCCGGGCCGGCGGTCGTGGGGAATGAGTGGCGCGCGCGAACGAAGTTACTTCGATCTAGTCTTTCCTCGATGGGAGCCCGAGCGGCTCCCAGCCCGGACCGCGGAGGAGGCAGCTGCGGTCCAGGCGCTCTGGGGAGCGCGGGCTGCATCGCTGGGGGAAGGGGGTCCCCCAGAGGAGGACGGCAGGGGGCACAGGCCAGACTGACGGCGGCTTTAGACGATCAGGCCGCACTCGCCCGGGTGCTTCTGCCCGTCAGGCCACCGTCCCCGCGGTGCTCGGCGTCCCCGGTCCCCGCGGCCTCCGACCCCGGGCACTGCCGGGAGGCAGGCGAGCCGCTGCGTCTCCGTCTCCGTCGCCGGGGGGGCCGGCAGTGCGGTTCCCCAGACGGCGCCCGCTCGGGCTTCCTCTTTCGTGGAAGAACCGAGCTCAGGGCTCGCGTTCCGCAGACAGCCCCCGCCAGTGGCCCGCGTGGCAAAGGCACCTCCTGCTGTTCGCTCGCTCCCGCTCCGTAAACGGTCCTCTGATGAACAGGAGTTATTTTTAATCCTGTCGAATGCTGAATGCCGCTCCTCTTTGATTGCAGCTTTTTGCGTCTCGTTTCAGAAACTCCTGATGTCACGAAGTTATTGACACTGATTTTTGTGTATGGTTTGAGTCTGGGCTCTTTCTTCTTTTTCCCCACGGACGCCACACTCCTGCCCACACTCGTTTTTGCTTCGTTCAGGGGATGGGTATTTGCGGGCCCGGTTCTGCCCGGGCAGACGCCGGTCTCCACGCTGGAGGGATGTACAGAAAGGCCAGGCTGGCGACCTGGAGACAGTGCCCTCTAGCCACCGGGCCTGCCTGCTGCTCCCGAAGCACATCAGACAGGCCCCTGCCCCAGGGCCTTTGCACGGGCGGTTCCCGTCTGCCTGAAGGTTCTTCCCCACCTGTGCACACGACCCCTGCTTCCCCTCCTTTCGCATCCTTCTCATTGTCCTGGGGGGCGCCTTCCGGACCACTCATTCCGTCTATAATCACCCCCCCCCCCCCCCTTCCCTGACACCCTGATCCCCCGTGGACTTGAGATTTTTTATTTACCTTCTTTATTATGCGTCTCCTCTCAGAACAGCATCCCACTGGTGGTTCCCAATGCTTCAGACTCACACACAGTAGGTGCCCCCACTGCCCTCCCTTGGCCCTCAGGGAGGGGGGTTGTCTTTTTGGTTTTTATTTTGAAATCACCCACCGAGAGAGAGTCCCCGAGAGCCTCCCGTGGAGGGGTGTGGCCTCAACTCTCCG